CCTTCTGGAAAAACTCCTTAATGGAACACATTGTACTTCATTCTGAATGTCTTCTCATTTAGTCAAACCTCCCTGGTCTTCAAAGCATTATACAGAGCTCACTGAGTGTTGAAGCACCAGTGCTGTCAGACAGGTGAGCTTGAAAAATCCTGCAGCACAGCAGCAGAGTAGGATTTCCTGCATCCCATAGAGCAGGAAACAAAGTACAGATATTTTCATCTCCTCACCTCTTGCACGCTGCATGCTTGCAGGACTGAATCAATCAAGACATACTCTCTCTAACATCCTTAAACATGGCCTATTTATTAAGCCCACATATCCTGCTTCCATGGTGTGTACTGCTCTGAAATTTCTGGGTCTCACCTCATCTTGCTTCTGTCACTGCAACACATAAAATCATAGAATCATAGAATGGTTTGGGTTGGAAACAACCTTAAAGATCATCTAGTTGCACCCCCCTGCCACAGGCAGGGACACCTTCCATTAGATCAAGTTGCTCCAAGCCCCGTCCAATCTGGCCTTGAACACTGCCAGGGATGGGGCAACCACAGCTTCTCTGAGCAACCTGTGCCAGTATCTCACCACACGTAGCATAAAAAATACCTTTCTTATGTCCAATCTAAACCTGCCCTTTTCCAGTTTAAAACCATTGCCCTTTGTCCTGTCACTACAGGCCTCAATAAAAAGTCCATCTCCAGCCTTCTTGTCAGACCCTTTAGGAACTGGAAGTATGCTTTAAGGTCTCCCTGAAGCCTCTTCTTCAGGCTGAACAACCCCAGATCTCTCAGCCTGTCTTCACAGAAGAAATCGGATAAATCACTGTTTACTAGTTTCTAGTATGTACAGAGCATATTTTTCCCTCAAATGAATTGATTTGAAGCCACATTCTTTGAAAAATTGAGGTGCAAATAGACTTCAACTCTCAGAATTCTACCAGCAAATGAAATCAAAGCATATTTTGCATATGCTGTGATTGAGTTTTGAAAACTGCATGTATTTTTTTAACAAGTCAGTATTCAAGCTCACAGTATTAAAGAATCAGTGTTGTGGTTAATGCACAAGGCTGGGTATCAGCTGACTTAGATTCTAGTCTGGGCTCTATCTCAGAGTTCCCTATGAGGTAATCACAATTGTCTTTTCAGAGGTGGTAGCTAATTTTGGATAACCCAGCTTTGCCTGCCAGGCTTTAATATCTGGAACCCAGTATTCAGAAACTGGTTTCACTGACTTCAGCTGGTATAAAAAGAACTCCAAATCTCCAGAAATCAGATTCCTAAAACTGAATTTCCATTGGTTGCCATTTATATCTCTGCAAAGTGTCCACAAAATGTTGCCAGTGATATAAGTGGAGAATTCAGATTTATTAATACTGTGCATCCACTGCACATGCCTTAACAACTACAAAACACTTAGGGGGATGGAGGGCAGGGTCCAATGCACCCAGAGGCTTGCCATGAGCGAAGTACCCAGTGTCCAACACACCTGATCTGTACAATTCAATGCTTCAGCTTGGGTCATCAGAAAATAAAATGTTTCAAATAAGAAGCCATAGCTGAAAAGGCAGATTTTCTTTGCCATAAAACTATTTATAGCCAATATAAATATATGATGCTACATGGAACTGAATTTGAGTTAAATTTAAAAAACCAAAGTGACTTTTACAAGTGTTCTTATGTGTATATGGAAATGAGTCAACAAAAACAAGTTCATAGTCTGTAACCCTGTGACACTAAAGAGGAAAATCATTTTCTCCACCTCACGAAGAAATATTAGTGAAAAATCCCCAACAGTAAAGATCTGACCACATCATATTTTAATTAGACAGCCAAATAGCTCACTCAAGAATCCTGGTGTAACCTACACTAGATCATTCCATCTGTGTGAGGATGTTTTGCAATTATGCCAGTACTTCCAGCTCAGATGACTCAGAATGGGTGGTGCTTATAGGGAGGAGATCCAGATCCTTTTGTCCTTCACAGGAATCCAGGCCTGCTGAGCACTCTCATCTGACACCAGAGTTGTCTTTTATTATTAGGAAAATTACCCTGCATAGGCTACCATGACCACACTGCTCCTGGCACCTGAGTGAGGTTGCTTTTGATAACCAGGAAAATTATATATGCAAGATTTGGTAAAGGTCAGAGTTCCTTAATGCTAATGAAGTAGCCATATAATGTTGGAGGTGTGTCTGATGAAGGCTTATCTTGTCCTTTAAACCATGATCTGATTAGAAGAAACAGAACTTCCTGAATGTTTTTAACTTATTGCATCCACTGTTTCATAAAATCAGCAAATGATACCCAGTATTTAGGGAATCCTAAGGGATGCTTACTGTGAATATTTCTAATTTTCTGTTTTTGGCAAAGTAATGGAAGAATCCTGAGACAAAGGTAAAATGCCTCAATAAGAAACAAAACAGATTAAGGAGAGATTAATACTAATACCTAGGTAGAATGTCTTTCCCGTGCTCTGCCAAAACAACCAGCTTCATCAACACAGGAACTTGTTTCCCCAGCCAGCACTGGGCTGGCATGTGCAAAGCTTATATACCTGTAAGAAGTGAAAGTGAGACAAAGAAACACTGCTATACTGTGTGTTTGCTCCTCCTGGACCTTCCTTTCTCTGCTATACTGAGCAGAACTGTGGGACAGCTGCCCCCATAGCTTATTTTCCCTTTCTGTTCTGAGTATTTCTGGGTTCAAACTTAAACAGGGAAAGTTTAAGTTAGATATAAGAAAGAAGTTCTTTATTGTGAGGGTGGTGAGGCACTGGCATGCATTGCCCAAGGAAGATGTGAATGCTCCATCCCTGGCAGTGCTCAAGGCCAGGCTGGATGGAGTCTTGGATGACATGGTTTTGTGTGAGGTGTGCCTGCCCACAGCAGGGGGTTTGGAACTGGATGATCTTAGGTCCTTTCCAGCCTTAACTATTCTATGATTCTATTTCCTGCTTCCTGCCTCTGCTTGTAGGGTTTCTCTGTGCCTGCACATTAGGATAAGCACGGACTACTCAACTGGCAAGTGCATAAAAACCTATTCAACTCAGTAGAAGACAGTTGTAGTACTTTATCTGATAAGCTTCAGCACTCTGCTCAGTCATCATACTTTTATTATCTTCTGTCACAAAGGCTTGTTCTCTTGCAAAAATCACAGCAAGTCACCACACCTTCTACTCGGAAACTGGGGGGAGTTCCCTCCATGGCTTTACGAGCAGCAGCAAGTGGACACTATAGAAATCTTCTATGTCCACAATAGTATGCAAAAGTTACTTTTTAACTGACTGCAGAAAATCTGAATTTTGAAGTATATATACAAAATTACTCTGAAAACAGAAAAAAAATATTTTCCTCTATTTGCTTATTTCTTTAGAGCCTTCTAAACAAGTTGCACTAACTAGAATATACACAGAATGGAATATGTGCAATATATACACAAAGAAGATAAATCAAGAGTATATGGTACTCTATATTTACACCCATCAATTCACTGATTTTTAAGCTTTTCCACTTCAAGATTTCTTCGCATCCTATCACTGATGTACAAAAGAAATACCAATCCCTGTGTATTTTGTGTATAGTTAAACTAAATCTGCAGCTATGATTTATTTGTAAGTTCACTATACTATTAGCACAGTTCAGGTTCATAATCAGTTCATAAACACTGACATTGCAGGATCTCTGGGGTATTAATGATGTTCCTTAACATGACTCATGCAGAAAACTACCTCCTTCTCCACTGACACAACAATGGATACACTGGTGTAGAGAAGGCATTCCCTGTTACCCTGTGCAAAGCAAATGACACTGACAAGTACAGACCACAACAAAATTTCTCTCCCTGTTGCTTAAGAAGGTTGCTGCCATTCTCTGCAACTTTCTTCTTACAGACACTGCTCTTTCCTTTTCTTTAGAACAAGAAAAAAGATCTCAGTTCAACTAAACTAGCAAAATAAGTTTAAAAATAGACTTCCATCCAAACCACAATATATTTCCTCTCTCACATTGTACATGACCTTTGATAAAACACCAAAATCTTTTAAGGGTATCCAACAACTGGCAGCAATAGCTGGTAGCAAGGACAACAATGGATTTACTGACTGTACCTTGCAGTCCGTAAGTTCCTCCTTAAAAGGCCTCCTTCCGGCAGAGAACTTGCATCCCTTTCATATGTAATCTAATATGCTGTGCTAGAAGCAGCAAATTAACCATTTACTTTGCAGTGATTGGCAGTCCTCAGTCTCACTATGTCCTGAGTGACTTTAATTACACTGTAATTTCTGAATGCATTTTTCAAACTAACCCTTAGCCATACAGTGTTTTCTTTAATAGTCAAAATCCCTGGTAGGAAAAGGCCTATGTGATAAAAATTACAGGAGATGTAGATGAATGCAGTAAAATTAAAATCATAAGCATATCTAAGGATCTAGTGAATATCTAATCTTGGAATAGTTAGTGAAGGCAGTTTGCTCTTTAGACTGCTCTTTTCTTTCTTCACGTCTCCCAAATTAAAACCTAGTTTGCCTCAGAGCAGAGTAAATTTTGCCATCACTGTACATGAGGAGGCACAGCTGAAGCATTCAGTCTGACAAATCAGGAGATGATTTGAACCAAAAATGACTCTTTTCTCATTCAGAGATTGCAGATGCTTTATTCATGAGTATTAATATGATATGGCATGGTACCATTCCCAGCTTATTGAAAGTAAGACACACACAGGTTAAGTGATGTGTCAGAACTGCCAAGCAGGACTAACAGCAGAACCGTAAAGGACGCATATTTCCCCTGTCTAAGCCCTGCAGCCTGTGTTCAATAAGCTGAGTGATTTCAGATAGACAGATTAATTATTTCTTTTCTGGACAAAGAGCAGGCTTTCAAGGCTTTCACATCTGGCTTCAACCAACAATGTAAACCCTTTATTTGTGGGAATATCAAAATGTCATGCCCCAAAAAAAAGACTAGAAAATGAATGTTAAACATATCTGTATTAAAAAGCAATTCATACCCAGGTAAAGTTGCTACTGCTCCACAGTGATCAGGATGTCCTTCCATTATAGTGCATGGCAATGGATTAGTCCATGTTTATTTGCATAGCTTCTTCATCCCGTTAGGTACTGCCCCGTCTTCTCCTCATTCTCAGTATCTGGATGTGATTAAAGTTTAAAAAAAAAAAAAAAAAGTCAAATATCATGGACTATAGTCTGTTATTTTTTAATTTTCTGATTGTTCAAACAGCCTGTAAAATTCAAGGCAGAGCAAAACATTACAACCATGACTATTATACATATATACATATGTAACTCATATAGTTGTATAAAACCCCTTTTGCTTCTGTCGTTCTTGCTATTCCTGGTTGTAACAGGCAATTGCTCATAGTGGACTGACACAGCTCATGGCACAGAAGTAAAAATGGGGGGTTTGCTCCTGACTTCTTGAGTCTTGAGGAAGACAATGGAATTTGGGCAACACAAGCAACAAACCCCATACAGGGCTGTCAGAGATAAGCCAGGAGATGATGCTTATTCTTTAATAGGCCCCCACCAGACAAATGCAAACTGTTTGTCAAGCAGACCTGGGAAAAACCTCTTGGGGCGAGTAAACGCTCTCCTGGGATGCTGAGCTATGAAGTAACGCAATAGTCTTGATAAATAGTCCTCTAACAGCTGCCTGGTTTCCCTCTGTGCAAAGAGAGCTGGCAGACAAACCCATCGGGGGGAGGCTGCTGGGGAGGGGAAGGTGTGAGAGGGGACACCTCTCACCCCGCGGGCGGGCAGGCAGTCCCCGGGCCTGCGGCCTGCTGCCCTCGGGAGCTTGGGACACTGTCCCTGCCCGGCTCCCGGCCACGGCTGCCCCGGGCACCTCGTATTAAGCGTTCCTACGGCGGCAGAGGCGTCGCCCTGTCAGTCAGCCTGTCACGGCAGCACAAGCAGGCGAGGGGAGCTCGGTGACCCCCTCTCCCGCGCCGAGGCACAGTCCCGGTGGAAGGCGGAAATATGTATCCGGTCATTCGGGCGGATCTGCGGCCCGGGGGGAGCGGGGCGGCCCGTGCGGCCGGGGAAGGCAGCGGGGAGCAGGGTCCGCCGCGGCCGCCATGGCAACGGGGGCGGGCGGGGCAGGAAGAGGCGGGCGGCGGCGGCTGCAGGGGTGGGGATGTCTCGGCTTTGATTGGGCGGTGTCGGGCGCTGACGGCTTCCGGCGTGCGCGCAGGCTGGGGGGGGGGCCCGGCGGTTGTGGCGGCGGCAGCGGCCGGGTGTGTGCTGGTGTCGGTGCGGGGAGGCGGCGCGCAGGGATGGACACGCTGGGCAGGAAGGTGGTGGTGTGCGACAACGGCACCGGGGTGAGTGGCTCCGGCACCGGGACCCGCCCTGCACCCGGGGTGGGGGGGAGGAGGGTGACGGCGGCGGGGGAAAAGGGGAAGCGGGGCGACTCCCACCCGGCCCAGCCCGGCTCGGCTTCCTGCCGGCACGCCCGCGGGCCGCGCCCGGCCTTGCTGCCGCTACCGGGCCCGGCCGGCTCCCCCCGCCCCGCGCCGTGCCAAGGCGCTGCTCGGGGCCGGCGAGGGCCGCGCCCGCCGCTCTCCGCCAGTCCCGGCCCGGGAGGTCGGCGTGGGCCCGTGGAATGAATGGGCGGAGGGAGCTCGGCGCCAAAGAAGGGCGGCCCCGGTGGTGTGCCGGTGGTTCGATCGGTTATCAACTGGATAAGCAGAGCACACTCTCGGGGGGTTTCGGTGCTGTGCCCGGTGCGCGGGTATCGCGCTGTGCTACCTCCGGCATTTTGCTGTTTTATCGTGAATGTAGTATTTCTCTGCATGGCCTGAGCGAGTGTCTGCAGCCACGAGTATTTAACCAAAAGTACCAATTATCTTCAAATTCTGAATGAGAACATTGTATATCTGGCAAACAGGGATGTGTGCTCCTTGTGCGGGGTTGTTAGTTGTAGGGAAATGCTTGGGGTAGGGTGTTTTTTTGCAGCTGCTGGTCAAAATGGAGCGTCATCCTGTCGTTAACACCTTTCTGATCTGAAACATACTCAAAATTGGCATTTTTTTTTAATCCGGAGAAACGCAGAGGTTTTCTTCCCATCCTTTCACCTATTCTGCCCTCTCTGAGCGTACAGGCACCCACTGGAAACTCACCCTTTTGTCAGTGGTACACAGGCTTTGTAGGCGCCCCACAGGAAGTGATAAAGATCCCGTTTCAAAGCAGAACGATACAGGATGCTATGGCTGGATCTTTGCCCTCGGTGATTTTGTTTAGCAATCTGAGGTTTTCCCTGGTAAGGAAATAATGGAGAATTAGCATAGCTGACAGCATGTGAGCATCTCCTGAACATTAGGAAAAAAAAAAAAAAAAAGGAAGTGATTTTTGGTTTTTATATATAAATAGTTAGAATAAAGATACATTTTTTTTAAAGCCCAAGAGGGAATAGTTGAGACAAAGGATGTTGCTAGGGACTCAGTATCCTGAATTAGAGGGTTTTCCAATTAGCATCTGAAATGATTGGAACGGATCAGGAAGGGCATTGTATCTGACAGGTCTGGGATTTGACAGTTCTGATGTCATCTTGTTTTTCCTCCTATAGCAAAAAATTGGGGTTGGGATCTGGAGTCTGGGTACTTTTTACACTATCATTTAGCAAAAGGAAAGGAAAACAGGAGGTATTCACTGTTTTCTTCTTACAAAGGGATATGGAAGTTGTTTTGTTGGGGGGGGTGTTTATTAGTTTTGAGGTTTTTTTCTGCTTTGGTTTTCTTTATTTTTCTTTATTGTTTAATACTTTTATGGTCAGGCCCAGCTCTGAAAAATAATTTACAGATTCATCCTTTAGTGTGGCTTTTTACACAGCAATAAATCACGGAGTTAATGTTTAGCGTGTTAGCAGTGACAGCAGTGTTGTGCTGTGGCTGGTCTTGGGAAGGTGGGAGGCATGGGGTAGGAAACTGCTCCCCCATTTCCCAAGTTGGGTTTGTAGCGCAGATTTTGTGCGGTGTGACACATCTGTGTGCTTTGGAATCAAGAGACATACTGGAATGAAACATTTTATTTTCTCTGTGAGTTGTACCAGCAGGATATAAATAGCTATAACGGTGGAAGGTGTCTTTGTAGTGCCATTGCAGAGCTGAGAGGAGGGGCCTGTGTTGCTTTGGCTTGTGCTGCTTTGGGTTGTGTTTGGCCTCTAAGCAGAGCAACATGTGTATGGAACTACCCTGGTCTCAGGGTTCATTATGTGGGAGAGAAAACATCAAGGAATAATTTTTAAATTGGTGAACTAAAAATATTTAGTTGAGTTTGGACAGTTAAACTAGAATGGGGTAAGTAATCTGGAAGAAAACTTCATTCAGGAAATCTTTTGACCCTCAACTGCATATTGAGACTATCAAATAATCCTATATTGCCAAACCAGTCTTTTTATTATCATTTTTTTTCTGTATGACAAGGAAGAGACACTTTGTCGGTGATTTCTGATACACTCTGATATGTCATCTTTAAAACCATGATTGAAATTAAATCTCTTGCTAGGTGCCAGAAATAGTACATAAGAATGGAGGCTGTCTTTAGAAAAATCACATGCAATTTTTAACTTTAGGCTTGGCTTTGAAATTTATTGTTGTTATGCTGCAAGAGGACTTCTAATGTACCTGGCTGCAACCAGTCTTTGAGGAAGAGGTGCCTAGATGGAAGTTCTTGCAACACATGGGGTAGGGGAGAGGCAGGCAGTGACACCTCAAAGGTCTAAAGCATTAGAGATGGATGTTGGTGGTGGTGCAGGACAAGCAGTTAGGTTACTTGCTGGCCTGTAGAATTGCTCTAATTGTATTTAGGGTTTTTGTTTGTATTGCGTCAATGGAAAGAATCAAGCTCAGAGACCTGATAAGAATATTGGTATTCATCTTAAAACTTGTCACGTGACCTGTTTGTGAGCTTCCTCATTCTTTTAATTTGAAAGAGTACTTATACTTACAAGTTCTTACTGTTTGATGACTCAGTAGGAAGTGAAAGAGTCAGTATAAACCACAGTGAAATGGAGAAGAAACTATATATGGTAAAACTTCTTACATGCATGGCCTTGCACACAGGCAAGCTAAGTAGCTCTTCTTAAAACATTCTGAACATGCAGCAAATGTGTGCAAAAATGAATGATGATGATCTCTTGGCTGCCCTAGATGCGTAAATTCATTGAATGTTGGTGTTATTGGTGAAGATATGGCGTATACTGAGTATTGTACAGAATATGATAGTTGTTGCAAGAGGTGTGCAAATAAGAGATGGCATTGTCTATTTGAAACTCTCGAGTTTCAAATAGAGAATGGCAGGAACAATATTTAATGTCTGACACTAGGAAAGAGAAGCTGATTCTTTTCCAGACTACTGCAGTTAATAACACTTAACAAAAGATTTTGGGGGATCTCCTGTAAGGAACAGGAGGGAGAAGTATCTCATATTTCTTGTACCACTTCAGAAATGTAAAACTGTCCAGGATCTATTATTATATACATCTATGTTTCTTAGGTGCATTTACCTGTTGGTAGGTTGGCCAAGTCTGGTTCTTCAGCCATAATATCCAATGTTAGGTTATCACAAACCCAGTGAACCGGCAGCTGTATATTTGATATCATGTCAGAGAGAATACTGCAGTTGTGGTGCTGTCATCGGAGGGGAAGCTGGTGCACAATGCTGACTTGTTCCCATCTTCACCAAATTTTCATGTAGCTGGGAGGGGGAAATTTCACACCTGAAGGGGAGGAGGCAGAGTTAAAATTCTGCCCCTTCTACCAACTGCTGAGTTTACCCAACTTTGTAAAAATGCCTTTTTTTTGTTGTTTTTTAAGGCTCTCTGTTCTGGCCTGAAAGAGGTAGGAAACAGACTGTGAATGTCTAAGCTTAATCTTGCTCATTGTAGTTCACAGAGATTAAATCTCGTTCTGATTGTGTTTTAGGCTGGTTGGAGGAATGACAGTCTGTTTTTAAAATCCAGGGTTTGTTAATTGCCAACTTTGTTAACTTTGCAGGAAGGTGTGTCAAGGTCTTAACACAGAAGGGGGCTGGAAGTTACTATTACAGTCCAGATAGTAAGAGCATAGCATAGTATTTTTGTAGGTCAGCATTTTGTAGGTCAGCACAGTTGTATGTGAGTTCGAGAGGTACTTTTTTAAGGTTGGCCAAGAGGCACTTACTGACTTTGTGAAGTAGTAGTTTGGGGCACATATCTCAGTGGCTGCTGTGTAAATCTTAAAGGTTATTTGCCCAGTTGGCTGGATTTAACAATATGGGTAGTAGAGCTTCTTGATGGATGCTCCAGGAGCTTGAGTTGTAAAGATTCACTTAGGTGTTACTGGTCTTCTGTTGACAGACACTGTTGGTGATGACTGGTAGGGAAGTTGCTTCATGCTGTAGGAAAGAAAAGGGATGTGAAGGTATGTGGGCTACCTGGAGGTGCCCAGGTTGTACTTGGAACAGTTTATGAAGCCCTAAGCTAGAGGATGAGATTGTATGGGCTGTTTTGGAGATCTTCCTTCTAGCACAGCCAGGCCCTGCACAAGGAGATTTATAAGAAGCATACCTAAATGTTACGGTAGCAGCAAAAGTTGTGTGATTGCCCTGAATGCAGGAATTTGCTAAATCTGAAAGGGAGCTTATCTTTATTAAAATTTGGACCCAGGTCAGTCCTTCAAAATGTCTCATGTTCCCTTTGGTATAAAACTTCTGATTAAGTCTTCTGGTGGATTCAGGTAGTGGAATACAGAAATGCTTGTGGCTACTCTGCTTTCTTGTAGCAGCACTGCGTTCTTGAATCCACAGATAAGATCTCTCTAATTCCTGGATACTTCTGTCCTTAATATAAGCAAAAGAGTTGGTAAGT